CCCCGTGCCCTCCGGTGGCAACCAGCGACGTCTGTGAGGGCTTCACTCGTTAGAAACAGTGTTTTTCTCGCAGAAGAGAGGGGTGTGGCGGCGGGCAGGAGGCAGGGCCGCCGCGGTAGCGCCAAGGCCGCACAGGGGTCACCGCTGTCTTCCTGGCCGTGCTTTGGGGCCACTTTAGTTTGATGAGCCCCAGCGCCGCGAAAGTTAGAATGCAAGTACTGCCCCCAAACGCCTGCTTTCTGCCCTTTAAGTACGGGCGAGGAGTTAACGCTGCTTCACGCTAGTCAGTCATGGATGTCATTGCTCCCTGTACTGTTTGGGTATCATAATTCCTTCCAGTTTTGCCTTGGACCTAAATGATTGATGGTTATGACCTGTGTGGTCCGGCTCATGGTAGTTCCAGCCCGGTTTGGCGTTTTGCAGAAAGCAGCCCCAGTCTCCTGCTGCATTCCCTGACCTCCTGGGGGGCAGAGGGGAGAGGGCAGCTGAGAGGTGGGTAGTACCGTGGGAATGCTTCTTTCTGCAGCAGGACTGGCCTGTGCTGTTGGTGGGTGGGCGATGGGCCTGGCCTGTCCTGGGGAGGTGGTTTTGCAGTGGAATGCTTGGGTTTGCCAGGAACTGTTTTTCTATTTGTTGCTGTGGTTGGTGGTTGGTTGGGTTTTTTTCTTTTCTTTCTTTTTTTTTTTCCTTCTGAATACATGCCTTGACCTTTGCCTACTCTGGTACTTCCAGTGAAGTCATTTTGGGGGCTTTGATTATGTGGTGTCTTGCAGACACGGACTAAGAATATGAGATTTTGTGGAAAGCACTATACAGTAAACTCACATAACCTGAAGGTGACAAACCTGAGAACAATTCAGGACAGATCTTTGTATGGTGCTTTTCAGCTTTTACCAAACTTATATTTGTGTGCTTCTCTCTATATAACAAGTCTCACTGAAGGACAGGTTAAGACGTTGCCTAACAGCAAAATAAAGACACCTTGGCAATAACAGAGCTTCTAAAAAGCACTGCATGGAGCAAACATTGCCTGTTGTAAGTGTGGGTACAGTGACCCCTGTACTTCTACTATTAGACTGCTTGAAAAATGTTAATAGAGGAAATTGTCCTTGCATGTTATTTCACAATAATTGTTTGATAAGTAGTTGCTAAAATTTCAACCAAGATAAAGGAAAGACCTGTTAACTTCAGATTAGTTCTTGTTTTGCTTTCATTTAGAGTATTGTAATTAGACTATACTGCTAATAGGATTGTTTGTCAACATTGATTTTTGAATTGGATGCCAGTAAACAGATCAGAGCTGGGAATTTATCTAAAACATCTGGATAACTAATTTGTTTTAAAGTGAGTCCTGTTCTCACACACACGAGCATCTAAAAATTCAGTAATTTCTTTTCACTTTGGGCAAATACCTTGTGATATATTGTTCCTGCCTATGATCCTGTACTGTTGTTGCTTATGCAATTCAAGCGGTTTTTTGGTTTTTTTTTATTTTTAAACATTAGTTTTGTTTCTTAAGCATTCAGTCCATGCTTGCCAATTGAGAATACTGGCACATAAAACATGGTCTGGGGTTTGTACACTTCTCATTTATGTGACTTTTCAAAACAAAGAAAAAACCCATCTTGAACTCAGGTTACATCAGGCAGTGGAGGTATAAGCAGCTCACATGTGGTATTCTCCATTGCAGAGCCTCACAGGAGTCTTAAGGAAAATTCCCATTTGTTGGTGTGAGATTATTCTGTTTCAAAACAATGTAAACAGCTCTGAATTTTTTTCTTTTTTTTTTCTTTTGAGAGCTAGCTTTGAATGTTTTGGTGAGGAGCAAAGAGGTACTGTTTCACTTCGAGAAACTTTTTTATGACTTTCATGTCTTGATGATTCAAATCTCAGTTTATTTTGGAATAAAAAAAAGAGTCATAGTTTGATTTCAGTAACTTTGGACTGGTACAGTCGATAATATAAATGCAAATAATTTGTCATAACAAATAACAAATGTATAACACATCTGGAATCTAAGCTAGAGTAAAAGTACAAGAATCTAGCTTTTTTCTCTTTTTTTGCATTTAGTAAAAATGGCAGTCTTCTGTTATGACAAGTGGACTACAGGTGCATCTGGTAAACAGGATATTAAGTGATTCCTTTGTAGCCAAATAAGTGGAGGGGTTTTGTCAGTAAATCTTTAGTAACAGTTAAATTTTGTTGTTTCTTCTTCACATCTTAAAGACACTCTTTAACCAGGGAAATATCTTATTTACTTAGAATTTGATTAATTAACTTGAAACATTCCCTTCTTCTTCAGTGTTACTTCAAGACATTAAACTTCTTGCCTTACAAGTGTTTTTTTCTATCATGAGCACAAGATCAGCAGCAGCCAGCTTTCTTTCCCTGATGGTTCTGTTGAGTAAAATAACAAAGAGTAAGCATGGGGATTTTTTTTTTCCCCTCTTGACTTAATCTACAGTTTATCTGTTAGTTTACTTTTACGTTTTGAATTTATGTGAAACTTTTAACTCCTGAGGGAAATAGTGTTTAACTTTGAACTTTCAAGGTGTTTGTGTTGATTTGGTGCATTCTTCATGCAGTTCATTTTTGTGTAGCTTTTTGTTTGAGTGGTGATCCAGGACAGAAATTGACTTTTTTTTTTCCTTCTGTTTTTTTAAACTAGGTTTGGGCAGAGCATATGCTCTGGCTTTTGCTGAAAGAGGAGCTTCAGTGGTTGGTAAGTTTTACGTTAACTAACTTGCTCTAGACTATAACCTTTACCTTTTCACATTGCTCACTTTCAACAGTCCATGCCCTTTTTGACAGTAACCTTTGTTATTGAATGGTTTTCTGTCTTATCTTTTGCTATTTAAATTTTGCCTCTAAGGTTTATTTTCTTATGGAACAAGTTGCTTAAGTCTGTCCAAGGGCTTATCTTTGCTGGAAAGTCAATTTAAATCAGATAATTTCCTGGACTTGACTTTCATCCATGCATACTAATCTTTACCATGAACTGTGGCTGGAGGGGATGTTGTCTTAGGTGAATACTGCTCAAAAACTTTTAATATGACCATTTGAAAATGTGAATATATATCTTCTAGTACCTTCTTCCATAAAAGCAGTGATTGGAATGTAACATGGTATCGATAGCTCGCTGAAAGTGCACTGGATTGTTTGTTTCAGCAGCACATTGCCCAGAAAAGCCATCTGGTCTCAATGACACTGCCAAATAGCTCTCCGTAAAGGATTTCTGATAGTTTCATAGTCACTTGGCTGAATATTGTTCAGGGGATATTTAGGTGTGCAAAATGCTTTATCACAAGCTAATCCTGAAGGTTAAGTTATATTTGTGGGCACTTTCGTGGAGTTGACATCACCATTTGACTGCCTATGAATGAATTTGTACAGGTATTGTTGAGCAGTTCAAAGTTAAAGGTTTAAACAAATTATGGAAAAGAACTTACTTGATTTTAGTAGCTTTCTAATAAAAAAATCCCAGTCTCAGCTTACAAAATTTCATTAAAATTGTTTGGTTTTACTTTATTGATGAACTTATTATCTTAAAAAAAATTAGTTTTTTTTCTGGTAATTGCCACCTTTGATACTTATCTTATTTACTAGGAACATGAATACTTCATCTCAAGTTCTGATTTAACAAAAATTAGGTCACTGAAGCAGCCCAAATGTTTAATTGTGTTGATTCTATAACTGTAGCTAGTGGTGGTCTGACTTTCCAGAACGATCTGATAGAAAATGTATTACATTGCCTGATGATAACTAATACTCCTTTAACTTTTGGCCTCATTGTGGCATAGCTAAGCCAGTAAGTTGACAATTGCAGTTTGGAAATTGCACCTCACTTCATCTCTTAGAGTAAGTGCTTTGCAGTTACCTCTACATGCTTGTATTTATTTTTCTTACCCATGTTCTCTTATGATTCTGACTTGAAAAAGTTGAGAAGTTACTTGTGTAAAGATTTTAATTTTATTAGCTAACGTAGATATGAGACTCGTCTTTTTAAAGGAAGTTCCTTTTTTAAGTTACGGAAATCAAGGTAGTTTGTAAGAACAGTGATCAAATTTTCTAGTTGGAAGAATACCAGTGGGTCCCAAAGGAGCTTCTTCGTCCAGTCCCTCATCTCTCTGTGTACAACATTCTGTTGAGTGAGTTGCTGTCAGCATGGTTAGACTGACCAGTGCCACTGAAGTGGAAATACTCCTTTCCTTATCAAACTCAGGCTGTCTGCTACCACCGTTTTTTGTCATGTTTTGTCCCTTTCATGCTTCTCATCACGAAAAGTAAAAAACAGGAGGAAGGGAATGCTTTGTTTTTGTCTTGCAACCTGTATCTTGTCCAGACCCTACTGTTTTTTTTTCCTTTTCAGTCTACCCAAGGGCTTTGCTGTGTTGCTGTTTCAGGTTAGAGTCTTGCTTTTGAAGCATCTCTCCTGATTTGTATTGATTTGTAACTTTGTTTGCAGTGTAGAATGGTATTGAAGTGCATGAGTGGAGTTCCTTTGGAAGACAAACTGTAAGATGCAATTTAGCAATGCACCTAAGTTGTTCCAAATGTATGTTTGGTTTGTGGCACCAGAATACAGCAAGAAATGAGTTGGTTTATTTTTCCAAGCAACAAGTACTATAGATGTCTCAGCACCAACTGTTTACAGATTTGCTTCTGCTGCTCTGCACTACTTGCTAATAACACACTCAAAGCCTTAGAGGAATTATTCTTTACAGTTCAGACTATACCATGCTCTGTCACAACTGCTGCAGTTCCTGGCTCTTTTCTGGATGTTTTCAACTGGAAATTATATAATGTAAAGCTGGAGCTTAAAGTAATGTTATTTATCTGTTGTTTTGTTCTGGAGTTTTATGTATTCATTTAGTTAGTTAGTTTTAAATTACTCTGTCACATTTGTGAAGTTAATTTATAATTTTAAAAGCCTAGGATAGCTCTGTTCTTTCTTGTGTATTCATTTTTGCTTCAACTCTGTTAGTGCCTACACTCAGCCTGAGGTGCTTTTTCGCCTCTGGAAATTTCCCCAAATCTTTAATTAAGCTTTTTTCAGCAAATTACTATTGAGGTGAAGGGTAAACATATATAAGCAAGTCTTTGGTAAAGAGTTGTAATGTTTTAACAAGACTAACAATGTTTTTGTATAAATGTCTAACACAAAATTGTCCACCCTTCTTTCCCAGGACAGATTAGAAATCCTAGTGCTGTTCCTGACTCGCTTTTCTTTAATGTCTTGTTAAAGACCTTTGATGTTGCAGACTGAGCAGTCTACCTGTGTTGCCTATTCTAATGCTTCACTACACTTAGAAATTTTCCCTAGTGCCACTCCTGAGTTTTGCTAGCTGATTGTTTGAACTATTAGATATTGATCTATTTAGCTTGGAGATTTTGTTCCCTTTTTTTTTTTTTCATCAGTCTGTTAATGTACCTGAGCATATTGTTATCACTTCAGGCTAGATGGTTCTTGGTTTTGGTTTGGTTTGTTACTAGGGGTTTTTTGCCTGTTCTTTGCATGGCTCATTTCCTCTGGGCCTTGGCATTTTCATTTACTTATCTGGATTTTCTGAAGTGTTCCCTCATTTATCTTGAAGTGCTGCACACAAAGTTGAATAGAGACTTTTTTGGCCTGTATAACAGGGAACAATTTTGTCATGTGTTCTGCAAGCTATGTTCCTCTTTACATGGAGAGATTAAAGAAAAAAAAAGAGGGGGGCACAATGTGTTTTTCTTTTCTTTTGTTATCATACCACAGGCTTATAGTTGCTCTTTATCATCAAGACAGCAAGAATATCTTGCATATTCTCTGAATTTCACTATGGCTGGATCTTGAGGACTGCAAACATTAGAAGGCACAAAGCTGGAGTTTACCACAGGAAAGACTGTTTAGCAAAATACCGATGTTGCATGTAAATCTACAGTCAGTTCTGGTTTACAATTTAATATTGCACCCATTTAAACATACATCTCAGCAGTTAAAATTCTTAGTCCAAATGTAATGTATGCGTGGATTTTTTTGGACCTGTTTTTGTTCCCCTGATGGATTGTGTGAAGTTGTGGGACACGCAAATACAGCAATGCAGCAAACTGTGGTGTTGCTCTGGTGCAGCTACCATTAATGACGCATGCCCCAGCTCAGAGAGCAGCCTGAAAACAAAGCAGCTCCCTGTGTCAGGTGCCCTCTTACCCCACAGGAGCAGGATCTGAAGATCCAGAGCGGGCTTTTCGCCGTTTGTTCAGACTGCTTGATCTGTTCTTTAGTGAAGTTTGCTAGTAACATTTTAACAACTCTTACTAAACAGGAACAAAGTCTTCTCAGTCTTGTTTATGGTTCATGCAGTAGCTATAGCAGTTTGACTAGGATTAATCAGCAGTGATTGTTATGTAATCTGATCTTGATATTAATCTCTGAACTGCAATAACAAGATTAGAGAGGAAGCCTAGGCAGGGCAAGCAAGTGGTGGAGAGAATAAAGAAATAGTTCTGTTTCTCATGTTACTAAAAAAAAAAAAGATACCACTTGTTATACTACTTTAAAAAAAATGCAGTAATGGGCCCTATTGTTCTAATGTAATCATCTGAAATTGTCAGTAGGAGTCAAATGCGGCAGGTTTTGTTAATATTCCTTTTAAGTTCCAACATAGTAATGAGATAAGGAGAGAGCATGAAGTCTGAGTGTTAACTGAAATTTTCATTTCTTTGTGATGCACAGTGAATGATCTTGGAGGTGATTTCAAGGGATATGGCAAGAGCTCCTCAGCTGCTGACAAAGTTGTCAACGAAATCAGAGCAAAAGGAGGGAAAGCAGTACCCAGTTATGGTATGTTATTTTTCCAGACTAGTTTAACGTTTTATCTATAGGAATAGTGGACCTGTTGAATGAAAAATTGACTCTGCTTAATAAAGGCCAGCTTGCCAATACCATATAAATTAACTGAATAGAATGTAATGTGGAGTAGAAAGATGAAGACGCTAAAAGCAAGTGCATAAAGTGTTCTTTTTACTTAGTACTACTTGTTTAGTAATGCCTTTTCTTTCTTACGCTTTCTTAACATTGAAATATTAGGAAACTGTCCATCTGCAGTTGTGAGAGGCAAAATGGGAATGGATGAATTGTTCTTGTTTTGCTTCTTGTTTTTTCTTGCAATGACAAACATTGTGCCATTTATACTTACTGTGTGGGATTTGCTTTAGGCCATGTGCAAATAGTGGCTGAATTTGAATTTATTTTATATTGGGTTTGCACACAATTTATTTTTCTTAGCTTCATAGATTTATCTGTCAATATCATGGAAGTGCAGTGTACCCAGTTCATTTTAGTTCAAAGTTTATATTTTTTTCCTTATAGATTCAGTAGAAGACGGTGAAAAGCTTGTGAAGACAGCACTGGAGGCTTTTGGGAGGATAGGTACAATTGCATAATTCTTCTTGTAACTTGTTTGCAAGAGCAGAGCCATTATAAGCAGTGCAATTGACAAGTATATGAAGTACAGTGTGACAAGAGTAGACACCAACCCTTGATGCCCTTAGTCAGTGAAACCTAAAGCAGGGGCTTTCCACTTCATGTCTGAATGCACGACTTTTCTGGGTTTTTTGGTACTTTTTAGCAGGTTTAAAGCTCCAAATGTGGTTCTTGTCTTCCTCCCCTTCAGAATTTTAGTACTTAAGCAATGGTTAAGCTTTTTTGCCTATATGAAGATCAAAATGCTTTAACACAAATTAAAAATAAAGATTGACATATTCTATCTAACAAGTAGTGTTCCTCTTTACCATCTGATTGCCACTGTTTAATTGTGAAGTTTATGTGATTTTAGCTCAGGGTTAAATGTCTAAAATTACACATCATCAAAGCCAACAGGTATCAAATTAAATATTGTCAAAAATTGTTATGATCCAGGTTGCTTTAGTGGTTCTGCGACTCTGTGGTTCTTTCAGTTTTAATTTGGACTTACTGCAAAAAAGGTGGTGGCACAAATTGCATAATTGGGAGCACAGTGGAATTCAAAGCAAGCTGCAAAACTCTGCAGGATAGCTGCATCCTGCAGATATTGTGTTCACAGGTTGCCAGCTGCACCTCTCTGTCAGGCTTTGTTCTGGTGGCAGGCTGAGACTTGCCTGTACTAAAGTATTTTTTCTTGCGTTATTTATTATTCAATGGTAGAGTTTCAGTATTCAGGACAAGGAGCTATAGAATAATAGTATGATGGATGTATGCGGTATTCTGGTTGTCTATTAGAAGTGGGAGAAAAATAGAAACAAGCTTTTACTTTATCAGTACATTCACTTAGTTTATTTTCTGGGTTTGTTTTTTTTTTTTTTGCAGATATTGTCATAAACAATGCTGGGTGAGTAAACCTGAAAGTTGTTTTCCTGTTTGATTGCAAGATGTCACTTTGTATGAACTTTTGTTAATCTTTTTGTTTGTTTGTTTTATTTTTGTTTTCCTAATGTTGAACTGTAGGATCCTAAGAGATCGTTCTTTTGTTCGGATAAGTGATGAAGATTGGGGTGAGTTGATAAACTTTAAAATATGCTTTTGGTGTGATAGATGAAAGGTACATCCCTCCGATTGGTACAGGGAAGAAGAGAAGGCAAGGATGGCTGTCTATGACAGACCAGAGAATCTTCTTTTGCCCTGAAAGCTTAGTGATAAACTGCTAGTGTTCAGCTGCCTTATGTTCAGCTTGTAAACTAGATTTTTGCTGCAATGCAAGGTAGGTGTATGTAGTTCCAAAGGGGAAGAAAGGCTCTAGCTGCCACTCCTAGTTGCAGAGTGGAATACAAAAAAAGAGCCGTGTGAAACACACAGAATAGTTTTTGTGAGCAGAACACATTCCAAGTGCCAGCACTGCCTGGCTGAATGCTCAACAGGCTTAAAAGACCCTGAAAACAATAGAGAAAGCAAAGCTGATATGTCAAGGGACAGAAGAACAGGGGAAACCTTCAGTGATGTGGTAGGTGGTGATGAGTCAGTTGAGCAGGCTTTTACAAAGATGATCTAGCTTCTGTAGTCCTTGTTTGACTGTACTTAAGTGCAGGCATGTTGAATGCTTGTGAATTCTATGCATGAGACCCTCATCCAAGAGGCAGAAGGAATGATCAGTTTATGTTCAGGCAAGCACTTCAAAATAGTCTAGGAAAAAAAAAAAAGAAAAAAAGAGCCTATCGCTTTCTTAGTTACAGTTTGAAAGTGTGAAGACAGTGCAGTTTTTGTCATGAAGAAAAAAAAGATGTATTTCAAGTTGGGAGATGAAATCATTAAACTGCCTTTAATTTGTTCCTAGATATAATTCATAAAATTCATTTGAAGGGATCATTCCTGGTCACTCGAGCAGCATGGAATCATATGAAAAATCAGAAATTTGGCAGGTAAAGGTTTGTTTTCTTTTTTTTGTGTTTCTTTTTAAAAATCTTTTTCAGTAGGGTGCAGCAGACTGATGCAGACTGTTATCAGTCCAAATGTGTAAGCCTATATCCTTTCAGTTCTGTCCCTCTGTCTGCCTCTCCAGCCAAATATTTAAAGATTTTTTTCCATGTAGATGCAAATAAGCTACACAGGAGCTGTAGGCTTACAGAAATACCATTTATTTTAATGAAGACAGTTTAGAAATGTTTGTTACTGCAAGTCTGAAAGCTTCTTCTCCTGCTTCTTCTTATTTGAATAACTGATACATGAGGTTCTGCTTGTGGGTCTTGGTTTTTTTTGGGGGGTTATTTGGGGTTTTTTTTTTCCCTTTGGACAAATTTACTTGTCTTAGAAGTTGTGGGAGTGCTCTTAGTCTATTTTGGTATGTGTCACTGTTAACTGAAAGAGTTCAATGAATTCAAACTTCTAAGTTTTTTCACTTTTGTTGCTTTTTTCCTTATCAAAACATTGACATTATTATATTAATCTTAACAAGCATACCCACATGTTGAACGCTGCATGAGCGTCTTTGTCATTCTGTAAGCAAACTGACATTCCTTCTCATCCAAGGAACTGAACTGTAAGGATAAAGGAAGAGATCAGCAGGCAAAATACACAGCTGAAGTCTAGGAGTTGCATCCGTTTAGGAAACTGCTTACCTTGGCTCCTTTTCTGTATTTGGTGAGATAACAGTGGTAGTGAGTGCTTATGCAGTTTCTGTATAGCTTTATGCCATCTGCAAAATGCCTGCATTGGATAGATTTTTTAGCTATTTTCATCTTGATCATATTGAGCCAATACTAGTAACACATCTCTTTATTTTGATTAAAAGCTAGTGAGCAAATAATAATAAAAATTAAATAGATTTTGATCTCAGATATGCAGTAGGTTGGAATGGATTCTAATATGGTTAGAAAGCGGAGGTGTAGACTCTTTTCTTTTGAATTCCAGTTTAAGAGAAGACATGCAGCACAATGTTTTCTTGCCTCAAACTAGCAATGGACTGCAGTGGTTTTACAGCTTTCTTGTGAGCAGTTCAGTAATCTCCACAGGAGTAATGTTAGGGAACAGCAAAGGACAAGACTTTGCTATCTTTTTCCTTCATGCATTTAATGTGTTTTAGGATTCTTCGAACATGAATTCGGTGAGAATGTGTCTTCACATATTACCAGGTAGAAGGCGAAGTCATTTTCTATAAAATGTAATTTTCTTCTGACCTGTTTATTAGTTGTAAGAATAATGCCACTTGAAGTTCAGTTAGAACATGGAAAGAAAATACTTTTCTCTGTAGTGTATACTGTTCTCACAGAATGCCTGTTCTAGTGTTGCAGTATTACTCAAAAAGGCTCATTACTTTGTTATTTTCTGCTACTGTGACAACGCTTAAGGATGTCAGTTGTTTGCTATTAATCAAACTTGAAAAAGGCATCTGTTTGTTAGCAAAACCAACACAATGTTTTCTTATCTGCACACTTTTTTATTTGTGGAACATGGAGAGGATAATGCCAAAGCTGGAAAATGTTGTCGTGTAAAATTAAACAACTTGAATAAATCAAACTTTTCATTTTTTTTTTTTTTTTTTTTTCTTCCCCCATCTTCCCTAAGAATAATTATGACTTCCTCCGCTGCTGGAATATATGGAAACTTTGGTCAGGCAAACTACAGTGCTGCAAAACTTGGCCTTTTGGGTCTTTCAAACACAATTGCAATTGAAGGCCGGAAGTATAACATCCACTGTAACACAATTGCTCCTACTGCTGGATCCAGACTGACCCAGACTGTCATGCCACAAGGTGAATTATTTAAGGTCTATGTGTATTGATATTTTTCAGTGAATTGAAGCACAGCTAGCTTTCTCTCAAAAATGGAAATCCTTTACACTTCAAACACTGCTTATTCATTATTCCTACTGTCTTTTTGTCTCTGAACTGTCAACTTTGTCTGTTTTAAGGAATTCTTATTTTCTGCCATAAGATAAGCAATTTTTATAATTCACTAAAGCAATTTCTTTTGGCAAGGCTCTTTATAGACTCCTCCAAGATCCTCTTATGGTAGTGGAAAGGCTTGTTTGTTTCATCAGATGTGGAATCAAGTATGTGCATAAGATGTATGCATTTAATACTAATTGCAAAATACCATTTTTTGCACAACATGTCATGTGTATACTTCATTCCATGATCAGTAGGAGATTATAATGAACTGAGTTGCCTAATATATTATGTTTTTCTTGATTGCACAGTTATTAATCTTTGAATGCTTGAACAGGTTTTAACAGAGCACTGCATTGTGAAGCCAGTAGAAAGAACATTGTAGGGGACAGCTGTGTGTAAAGTGTATATTTACGATAAACATAGTAACTTATTACTTTGGCAAATGACCAGAAGAAACAAAAATAATTTGGAAAAAGAAGCCTATAAAAGGAGATTGTTCTCAGAAAGTGTTCTAGAATCAACCTGTTTAATTTCACTCCCACCCTTCTCTTCCTGAGTGATAGGCTTTTTAAAGCCAGGGATATCCTTACATTTGGACTGCTGTACAAGATACTGAAAAGTTATATATTTTATACAATTGTGCATGGATTGAATGCATAATTTTTTTTTTGTCTAAGTTCTGTGTAAAATATCCTGGTTTATATCTAAGTAATCCAAGTGATAAGGAAATCTAGCACCTCTGTAGTTTGTAGGTTCCAGGGATTTATCACACTTAGAGAAGAGTCAGTTACATTAAACTTCCAGCTATGAGGTCCTGAATCATAAAGTGGAGTTCAGTAGCTGGAATTTCCTGAAGATTCTTACATAGAGTGATAAAACCACCTCCTAATTTTCTTTCTTAGTAATTTTAAGAGTGAAATCCTTTGGTGTCCCTATAAGATAGTTACAGCTCTGATCATTTATTCCTTGCCTCTCTTTGTCCCTCCCTGTCCATTTTTTCAAATACTCTTAAATGGTTTGGGCGCCAGAGCTTTAAGTGTTTTCATATCACAAATTGTCTGTGTTATTTCAGCTAGTACTTACTTTCCTGTTCATCTTTGTGCAAGTTGGCCTGCTTAGTTTTGTTCTTGCTAGGACTATAAGTGTAGTTTTCACCTGTTTTTGTGGGGCTTTTTAGACTTCTACCATGTATTTCTTAGTTCATTTAATAGTGGATTAGTAGTATTAGTGACAACAGTCTAGTGCTAATTTTTGAGACTAAATGATGTGTGTCATAAAGACTTCTGTTATGCACTTAAAACAGGCCATATTAAGTGGTGTTCAGTTTCCTTTTACCTTTGTGGAACTTGTAACAATTAGCTTCTGTTACTTCAGCTTGGACAGTAAAGAAGTAATAACTGTAATGCTAAAGTTTCCTAGCTCCTCATCTGTCAGAGTATTTGAAAAAGCTTCCTGACCTTTAGCTGAAGAACAGCTATGTGTCTGTGGTTGAAATAATAGTATTCTATAAGCTAAAAAAGAAAACTACACGAAATTAATTTTTCATTTCAGAAAGTGAAAATAAAATGTGTAAGAGCTGCCTGGACAACCACGCTCTGCTCCATGACAATATCTCCATTTTCAGATAGTTTTCTTTTGTGCCAGATGATAATGAAAATCCAAAACTACAATCGATATATAAATTTAGCATGGCTGATAATTCCAAATACCTCATTTGGAAATTTTGGCATTTCCAAATGCGGTGTTTGTTGTTCTGCTGTTCATCAGAAGGTGTTAGAGTAAGAATTATTTGGTGTAATAATACAGTATTTCTGTTTTATTATTCTCTCCTCTAATTTTCTCTAGATCTGGTCGATGCTTTCAAACCAGAGTATGTTGCTCCCTTAGTTGTTTGGCTTTGCCATGAGAGCTGTGCGGAGAATGGCAGTCTGTTTGAGGTAATCTTTTTATTTTCCCTCTCTTCCCCCTCTTTCACTTTCTTTGCCCCTTCCCCCAAAGTCACTCATTTGCTTTAGCCTGTCCAGTCTTAAACTTTTTTGCTAAAACTGAATTATCATGGGACACTGTGTATTCAGCACAGACAAAATGTTGACCTGTTGTGCTGTATATGACAAATACATTAGGCAGTAACAACCTTGTGAAATTCCGTTGTTTTCAAAATACTACTGATTTGATTGTTATAATTCTTATGGTACCTTTGCGAGTTTGAAAAGGTACCAAAACAACTACTTCAAAAGAAGTTTGTGTTTTCTAAATCATTCCAACACAGAAAGCAACTTGCAGGAAGGATGAATTACTTAGTTATGGAATACATTATGGTATTGTCATCAAACTGTTATCTCACAAATTTGATGGAAGCTGTTGTCTTGTTCCTGGAGGTCTCTGGTGCTCGCATTCCAGTGCTTAACTAAACTGTTAAATACAACCAGTAGTAGTTCAGAAACTTTCATTATGCTGAGTTTGTTCTGAAGTGTAGTTTTGTTTCACTGCATTACCAAAACTTTGCTTTGTAATATGTGGTAAGCTGATGATTTATTTTTTCTTGGCAGGTGGGAGCTGGATGGATTGGAAAATGTAAGTACTTTGTGTTATGGGATTGATTTTGTTTTTTGAATTGACAACAAAAGTGTGCAAATCATCTCTGTGGTTAACCTCCATTTATGACCCTTTTGTTTACGGAGAGAAGATTAGCAAAAGCCTAGGATTCTGAGGAGACTGTTTATTTTAAGCAGAAGTCACAAATTTCACTACACATGAGGGAAACTCGTAACTTAAGTATGTGCTTTGTTATGCTTTTGGGCTGAATAATAGTAATTATAAATCTGCCTAAGTAACCTTAACTCTTGGATCCCAAGAGTATAATTGAAATCAAGAATAATCTTTTTTGGTGCTAAGTATATGTTTCTGCCTTTTCTTGATAACTTCCATTTTTCATTATATAGAAGTAGCACATGCTGGTAGATATACTGTTTCTTGGTGGCTTTACACCTTTATTTATACTTAACATGTTGAGACAAATAGCCTTCTTAATGGCCAGTAGCTATGCTAGCTAAGCATTTTCTTGGAGTGACTCCAGTAACTAGCTTAAATATGAATGTAAGGAAAATTCAGATAATACTGACAGCTTATGAGATGGAAAACTTAATTCAGTGTGTGAAATGTCTTAACTTTTTTCCTAAATATAGAATCATGGAATCATAGTATATACTGAGTTGGAAGGGACCTTCAAAGATCATCCAGTCCAATCCCTCTGCAGTAAGCAGGGACAACGTTACCAGATCAGGTTGCTCAGAGCCCCATCAAGCCTGACCTTGAATATCTCTAGGGATGTGTTCTCCACCACCTCTCTGGGCAACCTGTTCCAGTGATCTATCACCCTCATGTGGAAAATCTTTTTCCTAATATCCAACCTAAATCTACCCTTTTCTAGTTTAAAACCATTACCACTCGTCCTATCGCTACATGCCCTAGTGAACAGCTCTTCCCCAGATTTCTTATAGGCACCTTTCAGGTACTGAAAGGTTGCTATAAGGTCCCACTGGATCCTTCTCTTAAGGCTGAACAGCTCCAGCTCTCTCAGCCATTGATTCCATTTGCCATGGAAGGAGGACCATTAATTCAAAAAGTGGTTCCCCGTTCTTCCAAAGCATTTTTTTCCCACTTGATAAAGATTTTCTACATTTCTAAAGAACTATAAATTTTCTGGTGGCACTGGAATAGCTTTTCCCAAGAAGTGTGTTAAACAGATTAAACGAATTACTGCAGCAGCCTAAAACCTTTTGTAGCCCTCCAGAAGGAGCTGAGTTTTAATACAGCTGAAAATCTGTGGCTTCTCTTCTCTGGTCAAAAGAAAATAGCATTTTCTACCATTATAATGGCTACTGTTGAAGTCTTTAAAATGAAACCATGTTGTTAATGAGGTACTGGTATGATCTTACTCATTTTCTGTTGCTAATTAATCTTCCATGCTGGTTTTGCTCTTAAGGATTAGTTGCATTCCAGGAAGAATCCTGGAATTCAGGAAGAATCTGGAAGGAAGTATCCTTCCAGAACTGGCTTCACATTAACCTTACTAGTTTTTACTCAAGTTACAGTGTTGAAATACAACTTCAGGGACTTTAGAGATGCTGGCTACTGGTATTAGCACTCTTTCATAGACAAAAAATGACTTTCACATTTTAGGTGCATACTAGATACAACTTTTCACTAGATAGAATTATAAAACTGATGTGGTATTTTCAGAGAGCAGTCAGTCTGTTGTGGCTCTAATGAGATTTCAAATCAGTGCTTTGCCTTTTCTAAATGTTAGTTAAAGGCAGTGAGCCCTTTTAGTCCAGCTTGAAGTTACACTGGTGAGTTAAATTGGAGTACTTATAACCTTTCCTTTCTTGCACCATCATGAAAGTAGTGCCCTACTAAACTAAACTAAAAGTTTCTTTGTTGCTTGAACTCTCTGATTCACGTTTCCCATTAGTGCGCTGGGAGCGATCCTTGGGTGCTATTGTCAGAGGAAAGAATCAGCCAATGACACCTGAAGTAGTGAGAGATAATTGGGAGAAGGTCTGTGACTTTGATAACGCCAGTAAACCCAGAAGTATCCAAGGTAAGGGAAACTTTGACGGTGTGTATAGTTTGGGTACGCAAAACTTAGAAGAGAATGCTTTCTTGTCAGACATCTGCTGAAAACTCTAGGGAACCAGTGAATTATTTTGTAAACATGTAACGTTAATCATTTACTGTTTCAGTATGGTCAGATCTTTTTAAGGAAACTTTTCTGTTCTTACTTGCAAAATTAAAATCTATTCTCTTTCTTAAGCATTTTTAGGGAAGTGACATCACTGTAATTTTATGTATTGCAGCCAGAATAATGGTAGTGTTTTATTTGATTGCACTTACATACTGGTAGTAGCAGTGTAATAAAGAGATGGTATTTTCTTTTCAGTTATGGAATCTTGTTTTCTGGTAGATTTTTCTGTATTAAAAAGCTCTCTGGTGAAGTCATTTTGTATAACACAGGAAATAAGTTCTTCCTTACTACCTTGTGTTCCTGGGTAACATCACCCCCTTGGCTGGTCACCAAGATGACTGTCTGTTCCAGTGCTTCATTTACTTTCTTTGTTACTTCCCATTATCTGTTGGTTGTTTTGGTTTGGCTTGGGTTTTCTAGCCAAAATAACTCTGATATTTTCTTGCTTCTCTTCCATCTTCCAAGCTTTCTTTTTGTTGTCTTATGTTTGTCTTTATTTAGATCCATAGATGTCATAGCTCATAAATTAACCATACAGACTAATTTTCCCAACTGCTTATCAAGATTCCTCAAGATATCTTTAGTTTGTTAGTGTGAGTTACGTGTGCTTAGTGTCACTGATGGTTGTTTTGTTATTACGAATGTCGTTATTTAGGTCAAAGATTGAGTATTTGCCAAATTAGGAAATGCTAGCTTTCAAGTGTTCGAAAAAAAAGACATCCTTGTGTCCAATGCCAGTTGAATTTTAAAGATGCTTGGATACTCAGTAGACGTTTAGGCTGTCTGTCCTGACATTTTGTTAAAACCTTAGGGATATGTTTTTAGATGCTAAAACCAGAATAGGAGACACTTTGTCCTTTCACTCAGGTCTTAGTAGAGGAATGAAACCAGCCATACAGCAGGTCTCAATCACCTTACTGACAGTTTTCACTGATCCTTGGCTTACAGGTGTCCTATTTCCAAATGTATGTCAGTTTACAGATGTTCACTGTCTTGCTATGGAATTCTATTTATAACAACATAATTCCAGTTTTATCGCTTCTGATCTGTTCTCAGACCTGTCGCTTGTACTATGTTAGTTTTTATGGGTTGCAAGCAGAAAAATGTTGTGTTGAAAACGTTGTAGGTGGGAATTTGTTTTGGAAGGTGCTTCAGCATTACATGTGAAATTCTACATCTGCCTCTTGATGCTATCAGGAGAAAAATTGGGCAAGATTTTGGACTTCTGAATATTATTCTTACAATAAAACATAGCAGGTTTCTACAGTCAGGAAATTGTAAATATTAGACTAGGATGAGTCTCCCATGCAGTGTTCATACCTTAGCTTCTGTTTTGTTATGAACTTTGCCAAAAATACAGCATTGTCCTTTCAGTGACATCAAGCAATAGGTACTGCCAGGCTGAATGAAGACTGTTGCATTAATTTGGTGCATGTGAGAATCCGCAGAAGGGTTGGGGAAAATTCTGAAGAATTTTTAGCTGAATAGAACTTTCAGTTCCATATTAAGATTTTTTTTCTACTGACAAAGTCTCCACTTTCTTGCTTGAAGGTATTCAACTGTTAAATAAGGGAAAATAATTAAAGTACTTGCATTAAAAATGCATAGCTACAATAACTAGTATCTGCAAGTTAAAACTCTCCCAGAAGATTTCATTAATTTAAGTAATTTGATAATGCAAAGAGCAATCATGTAGTAACCATTATGTGTAAGTATAAAAAAATACCAATTACATAAAGTATTTGCTTGTAATATAGTAGAAAATGCCATCGTCAGAGATGTTAATCTTGTTTCAGAATTTGAGTGTACTGATAAGGACAGTTTGACTTTATTCCTTCTAGATTACAAAGAAATAAGAGTATCATCTGTTGGTTGGTTAGGGCTTTTTTAAAGGTAATTTTCCGTACAGGTCTAACAGTCAAGTATATGTGAATACTTGGATTCATGTTGTACTTTTTTTTTTTCTTAGAATTCTCTTTTTTGCAAACATATGAGGAAGCCATTCTTTTAAATTAAATGCTCTGTAACTAATATCTGAATGATCATGCATTTAGAACCCTGCCTAGCAAAGCACTCATTTGATATTTACTAGAGCCTATTCACCGTTGTGTGTTTTAGCCAAGGACATTCTGCTGCAGATGCTGAAATATTGAACACTAAATGGAAGTACTGCTTCAGCTTTATGTTTTAGTGATGGTGTTTTAAGCAATTAAAATATTGAATTCTTTTTCTTAAAACTAGTTTAAGTAAAAAAGATACTAATTTTTCTTTAGACCTTTTTTAAGCCCTTCTTCAGTTTGTAGGCTTAACTTATTCTCTTGGCACATAAACTGAATCAAGCTAAAAACTTCTTGCTTGTGTAGAAGAATATGACTTTGTAGAGTCTGTGCAATTTTAATTAATAGTTAATAGCTAATTGTCACTTGATTTGGCTGTTAATGTTAATTCAGTAACTCATTGAAGCTTCTCAGTTATCATGATAGTGTGCTCAGTAAAGCAGTCTTTCTTGGTAGTTACCCTGCATCTTTCTGGATGTGCAGCTGGTGATTGTGCAGTACAGTCTTTTGCCCAAACTCCTCCTCTTACCCCAAAAGCTATCAGAGACGGTTGATGTAACTGACTGTGCTTGGCTTTTCACTTTCCTTTTAATGCTATATCTTTGAATGTTCTCTGTAGTTATTCCCTAAGCTTTACAGGCTTATTCCTTAATGTGCTTGTAGAAGTTCTGGCAGTTCCTCTGTGTTCCCACAGAGTTCCAGACACAGTCCTGTTAGCAAGCAAAATAGACAGTTACTTTTGCATTCACTACATGATGCCTTTTTAACAACAGAAAAATCTGAGAACAGACTCTTTTTTTTTTTTTTTTTTTTTTTTTTTTAGTAAGCTGTGTGAGAATTTAGGACTTAGGAAGTTGAAGAAGTGTAAGATGTAGTTTTGCTGGCATGTGTTCTCTTACATTCCCTTTACCGGGCTGAAAGTTAAGCATCTACTTAACACAACATGAAAATATCACTGCCTCTGAGGCAGCAGTGAATCTGCAGTCACTTAAGTGTTAGATCTTTTTCCTAATTTGCAGGATGATGTTATTTTCCTAGTAATGATTAAACTCAAATAATAGTTTTAGCTTGCTTTATACCACTTTAGAACGAGTGAGAAATCTTTCAAAATAAGCAAGGCATAATCAAAGCCTTAAGGTTAGGACACCAGAATCAACTTACAGTGTACATCAGTAAGTCACTATAAATGGCTCCCTGAATGCCCTTAGGTGGTAGCATTTGCAGAATAATGTGGCTTAGCTTAACTAGTACTGGAAGAGAATTGCTCAGGCTCTCATTTGCAGCTGGGTCTAATGAGATTACATATTTGTCATGGAAACATGGCTCCATGTTTTGAGATACTGAGAGGTCCTGGGCTCCTGTGCATAAGCAGAAAAACGAAATTAAATGTGATAAAGCAGCTTCTGAATATGTGGTGCATGTGTAGTAGGTCACAGTTGCAAGTTGCACTGCACGTTGATATGTTACCTCCTTATATTCCCTCTTAGGCAATGCTAGATCCAGTAGCCCTTGCCTGCACAGTATGCTACTTGCTCTTATGTCATAGTCTTGACTCTTCCTGTTATGCAGAGGCAGAAATCAAATTGTGTTGTGAGATAGGTGGAAGACAACCATCCCTGTCTTGCAGATTGTATACTGTATACAGCGTTCTGTACACAAGTTAGTATGCTTTGTTGTTTTGTTATCTAGGAAAACAGAATTAATTGTCTGTTATGCATATAAGGCAATCTCTGTCTTGATTTCCTCTGCAGCTGTGAAGATATGAGCCAGTTTTCACTAATCTAGTATCTTAAAGGTCTGTGATCTGCCTTTACGTTTACATTAATTTTTAATTCTCTTAAAAGCTGCCTAGGTACAAAAAATACTTTAGTATTGTCACTGGCTGACTTCTGGCACATTTCAAAAGCTTATCTCTGGTATAGGACAAACTGGTATAAACCGTATGTGTGTGAAGATGTGTGTGTATGTATGTATATATACTTTGTGTTTTTATAAAGAAAAATTTTGTGTAAGAAGAAAACTGTTCTGTCTTCAATTTTATCTTTGTAGGTGTTTTAAAAGGGCTTAAACACAGGTGCTGTTTCCCCCATAGTTAAGGGGCATGGTTCACATGCAATGTTCCCTAATTGGAAAGTGAGAGGAATACTTTCAGAAAGAGTTATGCCTTGCCAAGACTATTTTCAGCCTTTGCTCTTCAGGTTAATGTTTTCATGCTCTCTGCTAATAATTTGCCCGTTAATAGCAGGCCATCCCAGGATACTGGACATTTAAGGTTTTAGAGTCCACTGACAGTAAAACAACTTAAAAAATACCTCAGAACCAATATTAAAAGTAATTATATTAATGAAAAGGTTTCCTACTGGGTTTGTTTCTGCTGAAATTATACCCTTTGAGCTACTTCTTGAATCTTAGAAGAACTTTAATTAGGTTGTAGAGCCATGTATTTAAGAGTAAAAATTGTCATAGTTAAGTCTACTGCTGAAACGTTAATTTCAAACATCCTTGTGTATGACTGAAAATTCATGTACCACTCTGTGCTTCCCTCCCCATCTCTTTTACTTTCAATACTCGGCATGAATGCAAAACAAAGACTATTGAAATCACCCTTATCGATGTCCAGACCTCACTTACCAGTTCTTTCTTTGAAGGTGTAACCCTACTTCATGTGAAGGATTCATATCTGGTCAAATGCTAAATCTCATTTTCTACTAGTTTAGTTTCTTATGCCAGGCAGCAGAAAAGGAGTGAAGACTGAAATAAATTAATATGTTAAAATGTTTCAGTTGCCTGAAGAATTCTATAATGTAGTAATTCACAGGGAAAATAAAATAAATTAACATTCTATTTCCTTTTCTTTATTAAAAAAATAAAGAAAAAAAAAGGTTTACTATCGATATTCGGTGATATTCTAATAGCTTGCTTGAACTTTTCAGGGAACACAAAGGGATGGCATCTTAAAAGTAACTTTAATATTAAGGTATGAAAACTTCTCAATAAATTGGGGCTTAGAACCATAGATGAATCTTATGCAGTTGATGTGTGTCATAGATATAAAGAAATAAACACAGAAGTCATTGAAATAACATTCTGTCCTTAAAAGACAGCTTTTTCTGCATACATATGCTTTGGAAAAAAAGCAATGAAAGTGTTACTAAATTATTCTGGTATGAACCGGCTCAAGTGCTGTTGTTGATGAGAAATACAAAATTAGGCCAAAGTTTAAAAAAAAAAAAAAAAAAGAAACCAATTTTGGTGAGGCCTTTGACATTAAGAGTGAAGAACAACACGTCTTCATAGTTTTCAGACAGACACTCTGCAGCTCACCAATTTGAGAGTCCAGTCATATCATATAATCTGGAAGAGAGACTCCTTGAAAAGTAGATTGTGGCATTCTGCACCATTATTACAATTATTATTACATTAAAAATATTACATTATTAAAATACTTGTTGGTAATATTCTTTTGAGATTCCACCATTAAGAATAATAATTATGTTCCTGCATGGAAGTGGGTTGTGGACATGAAAACTTGAGGAAACATTCAGGTTTACTTGGAGGTCAAAGCTGTGTTTTCCTTTGAAGGTTTTAAAGCAACGTGAAAGCCTTTCTTTGGTTCAAGCAAGAGAGGTAGAAAGTCTGTTGCTTCTCCCAGCAGCTCAGTATTGCTTTTCCTTCATACATTTCAGAAATCAAAAAAGGAACAAAAGGGATTACATTTTAAAGGGTTCTTATAAGTTAAGAATCTGTTGTTCTGCACATTTTCACATTCTGTAAATGTCATAACCTCATGTCATGTTATTACAGCGCATATACCCAAAGGTAAAACTTGGCTTTAGCAGAAGGGTGACAACGCATGTTTGTTCCATAGATGTTCCTTTTTCTTCTTGAAATTTAGGCCACAAATAAAACCTTATGATGAGTCTAGCTGCAAGACTTGGAAGCTAGAAATAGTTTAGGAAATCAAGATTCTGCAAGAGGGTATGCAGCTAACTTGCAGGATGTGTAGGTGAGTGCTGTGCAGTAGAGCAACACGGTATTAGACTGAGCGACAGTGCAGGTCAGTATGGGTATAGAGATCTTGAAGTGGAGGTGAGTGGCTCCAAGGTAGAGGTAGTTAAATAATGATTTTGCACTCCTCTGATTTAAACACTTTTTTATTTTCTGTGCATGAGTCTCACCACTTTTTGTTTATTTTTTTTTTTAACCACAAAAATGTTTCATATTCATTTTAGCCGTGTTGAACTTCAAGGAAAAAGCTGTTCTTGATGGCCTGCCTTTACCATAGCTGAGTTCTGTATCTCAGCCGTGCATCATCTTCTTTGTAACCTTGTCATTGTTCAAGGCTCAGATTTATTTATTTATTTGTTTATGAATTTATGGCTTGAGAAAGAGCTGTTACTTGTATTGCAAATAATTTTTAAGATAAGAAAAGCAGTACTAATTTGCAGATGTTTACTTTTGAGACAGTTGGAACACAATGCTCATTATCTTCTCCTTAACTCTGTGGTTCAGGGAATAAAACAAAGTATTTACTGTCGTATTGCTCTCGAATGGTGGTGTATAGCACCAGTTGTGTTTCAGGCACTTGCATTAGATAGGTGTCATGGTTGACTGCTGAGTGCAGAACTGTTGGAGCTGGTGTAGAGATCAACTGTAAAATGCAGCACTGTGCTCAATTTGCACATGTATATTTATTGTGTTTAAAAATGGATTAAGTACCACCACATTGTATCTCATTTGTTATCATTTGTTGTCATATTTGTTGTGTGTCTAACTGAAGTGTCTTATCTATGGTTATTTCTAAGTGATTTTTTTTTCTTTTCCTTTCTCTAGAATCCATAAGTGTATTGAGTGATGCACTAAGTCAGATAGAGTCTCAGAGGAATGTTTCTATGAATTCAACAAGCTCTGGATCAGTGATCTCTTCATCTGTTGACATGGTAAGTACCTCCGTCTACCAGAAGCACTCAAATTTAGCTGAAAACTGTGAGCAGAGAGACTTGTGTTGCTGATCAGCTTCTACTGTCTCTTGCTGTCTGCAAAAAGAAAGATAGGTTTTAAACTGTGGAGTGAGGAAGCAGAATAAGAAACATCTCTAGAGTCCAGTCTTTATTTTTCTTATTGATGATGGGAAAACTTAAGGCTAAATAGACTGAAAAATACAGAATGCAAGTGGTTGTTAAGCTCTGTAAGCATCATTAGTCACGATATTGTTCAGAAAAAGGACAGGGGATGGGTGTTGTTGGGCAGTATGGTTTTGCTTTGCTCTGGCTCCTTCTCTAGAGAGAGATAATTTTTCCTTGTTTCAGTCTTATTACAGTTAATTATTTCATTTGTGGTTTGCTTTAGGAAAGATCTTAGGCATTACTAGGAGTGGAGCTGTATGAAGTTGCACTATTTATTCTCAAAGTAAATTGCTTGCTGCAAGATATAATGCATTACCTTAGGGTTGCTTGTACTTCAACAAGTACATTAATGTTTTGTGGTATATCTATCAGTCATACTTTATGTTCATGTGTGACTATAAACAAAATGCTCAGACATGATTTTTGTTTGATTGAATTACAGAAAGAATGCAAGGGCAATACTAACGATTATGAAGTTTTATTTTATACTTACTTCTAATTTCCAGGCAAGCATTGTTGGCCAGGAATTGGCTACCAACGTGTATAAATATACTCACTTAGAGCCTATTCTGTATGCCCTTGGTGTGGGAATGTCAACTAAGGATCCAGATCACCTAAAATTTCTCTTTGAAGGAAATGAAGAGTTCTGTTGTTTACCTAGCTTTGGAGTAATTCCTGCTCAGAGTTCGATGTTTGATGGTGTTCCTTCTCTTCCAGGACTAAATGTCAATCTTGCAAAGGTATGGAAGAGTTAAGTATCAATTTTGTTTGTGCTTTATCTAATTATAAGGTGACTTATTAATATATTTGTAAAATTAATAAGCTTCCTTTATTGTAGGAAAGGAAAATTCAGTATTTTGTATTCTTACATCCTAAGAAATTATTCATTTACTTCACTTCTATAGCCTATGTCTTCCTAAGATGATACTAATGATAATTTTTTTGTTAATTTTTAATTTGTGTTCACTATGCTTTTATTAAACCACAAAAGTTTAAAAAAATTGTTGAGAAAATTTTGTTTTGGGGATGAAATTTGTAAAAGAAAACAAAAACTTGCATTTTTTTTTTGTTTTGAACATTTTATAAAATAACTGTATATCTCCTTGCAATTGTGATGGGGAAAGCAGTATAATATGATTGCTGTTAAAGTGCTGCCTTTCTTTATATAGATGCTGCATGGTGAGCAATATCTGGAGCTGTATAAACCATTACCAACCTCAGGTCAGTCCTTTTATATTGCTGGTTGGCTTTTCACTATGGTAACAGATCCTGTAGCCATATTATAATTAGAAATAAGGAAGCTCTGTTTCTGGATTTTTTGCATATTCTTTTTACAAGGGGCAGAGAAGAGAGGCAACATGTTGCATAATTGAAGATATTTTGAAACTCTGTGTTCCTGGGATCAGGTCTTGCTTTTCTGTAGTATACTTAGTAAACATATGCCTAATCTTTGATATAATAAGCAAATACAATACACATTGGTGTATTGCTCATATAAGCTGATGCTAACTAGCAGAAGTTTTAATTCTTTCTGTAAGGTTGTATCATAGGACTTTTGGGATGTTTACCTAAAAATTTGTCAACATTGGTTGCATCTGTGTGTTAAAAGGAAGATAAGAGTTAAATTATATATGTAAAGGAAGAATGGACATCTCAATGCAGAGCCTAAAAAGCAATTACTTTTCATCCTGTCAAAATTATTAAGATAGTAGCAAGCTCTTTTCACAGATAGCTGTGTTTTTCCTGATTACAACACTTGAGAGGTGCTTATTAGACTCATTCAGGATATGCATGAATGTATCTTGGTTTCTTCATCAGTAATTTTTTAAAATGAACTTTTCCAGAGTGCAGAAGGTAAAAAAAAAAGTCTTGTAAGCCACAGATAAATGGCATAATTTCTTGCTGAAACAAAAGGTCATGTGTGAAAGTTTTATTAACTTCAAAGAACTAGTAACTAGTCCCAGGACTTTTAGTTTTCCATTCCATAGGTTGATTATGTAAACATATATGGTTACATATTTCTCTAGAGCAATAACCCTTCTAGAAACAAACTTCATAAATCCACGAGCCCAGGCCATGAGCTGAGCTTTTCTTCTGTAGAACTGTAGTTGTCTCAGCCCTCATGAAATCTGTGAGCAATCCTTAAATAGTTGGAGCTGTCTATGGAGTTAGTGATGTGTTTGGATCTGAAATGCAATTTGTGTTTAGCTCTTAATATATAAAAAATAGCAAGAATCTATTTAAAAAACCTCCAGAACTTAAGAAAAAATAAGAACTCCTCAAATCTGCATACCAAGATTTGCAAAGGTTCCCCAGCAGTTTTAGTATAATCATGATGACTGTGATTACTATGACTATTACTGTGGTTATTATTGCAATTATTGTGCTTCTTTTAAGTAGGAAAGTGTAAAGTGTGGTCTATGTACTTTATTCCTGAAGCAAAACCTTACTACTTGTGTTTGTTTTTCTTTTCTTACAGGTGAATTAACTTCCGTTTCAACCATTGCTGATATTCTCGACAAAGGATCAGGAGCAGTCTTGCTTATAGATGGTAAGAAAGTTTTTGATTTTTGGAGAGGTTGCGGTAAAATTTGACAGGCTCAGTTTTTAACTAGCTGTATCTAGAACTGTCAGCCTTTCTGCACTAAAGACTGGTAGCTTATTAAGTCCCAATGATAGCTGAGAAAATATCCAGTTAGCAATAGCTGTGTAAATGTATAATGGAATTGTTCTCCAGCAGTTAACTTACTGAAATAGGAACTCTCTCTTTGGAAAAAGATTTCAGAGAATGTTTGGGTTTTTTTTATGTAGGCAGAACAGTGCACTATGCGAGTGGAGCAAAGCTCTTTAATAATAATTCTTAGCCCTATCTGAAGGAAGCCATTTTAGATTCTGCCACGCTTCAGAAAGGGTGTGTACATGCACATGTGTGCATGTTTTGTGGGATGGTTTTGCAAAGGTTAGTCATGTGTATGTTGTGTAGACTCACCTATAAGGCAGCCATCTTTAAGAGCATGTCCTGCATTCTTTTTTTATGTCTACTTTATTCTTTTCTAAACAAAACAAAACAGAACTCTGTTTCCTTCCTCTTGTATCCAAGTAAAAGCATCAGAATGTCTCCAAAAGTTGATAAGTTGTCATTTTCAGAATTTTGGTATCTTTAGGTGTAGTTATACCAAGGTCTTGTGGGAAACTAGACTGCAAGAGTAAGTTAATAGGCAGTGAGTGTCTAAGCACTCTTGAGCTTTTATTTCCTAAGTGTACAGATAAAATTATTAGAGTCTCTACTGCCCCTTTGCTTCTCCTGGCTTTATTTTGCTTCCGTACTTGGGCTAACATTAAGCCTGTCTGCTTATGCAACATGCAAAAGCCCTTTTTATGAGCAGAGTCATAGTGGTGGTTTTATTCCTTCCAAAACTGGGAATGAACATTATTAACAATACTGTAAATTTCAGTCTAATGTGTGAGGGAGTGGAATGGGCATGAAAGGGAGTGAAGTAGAAAGCTGAATCTCAATTCAGTGTTAAAAGTTTGACTTCTAAAGAAGAAAGAAGGTGACCTTAGTAAGTAGTACAAAGTACCTAGTACTGCTTTTGTATGAGTTGGTAATGTGCTTTACACACAAAGGATTCTTAAAAGCTTCTGACACATCATATTTTATGGCATAATTGTATCATAAGGGATATGCATCTCCCTTATGTGGAAAGGCTGAGGGAGCTGGGTCTCTTTAGTTTGCAGAAGAGGAGACTGAGGGGAGACCTCATTCATGTTTATAAATATTTAAAGGGTGAGTGTCACGAGGATGGAGCCAGGCTCTTCTCGGTGACAAACAATGATAGGACAAGGGGTAATGGGCACAAGCTGGAACACAGGAGGTTCCACTGCAATTTGAGAAGAAACTTCTTCTCAGTGAGGGTGACAGAGCACTGGAACAGGCTGCCCAGAGAGGTTGTGGAGTCTCCTTCTCTGGAGACATTCAAAACCCGCCTGGACGCCTTCCTGTGCAACCTCATCTAGGTGTTCCTGCTCCGACAGGGGGATTGGACTAGATGATCTTTCGAGGTCCCTTCCAATCCCTAACGTTCTGTGATTCTGTGATATTTAAATAAATTGGTAATGCAGTGTGAGGTGCTGAAATAAATACTAAATTAAGTAAGCAATCTGTTGTCAAGTGTTTTTAGCACCATAGCTTTTTAAGATTAGCTTTGTCATGTTTGAAGCTGAAATTTTTTGTAACAACACATGCTAGCTATATGAAAAAGGAGATGGAAAACAATATATGACCTTCCTCTTTTGTTGTCTTTCAGTGAATACCTATTGTGGAAAGGACCTAGTGTGTTTTAATCAGTTCTCTTTGTTTTTTGTTGGAGCTGGAGGATTTGGTGGAAAACGAACATCAGAAAAGGCCAAGGTAAACTCATGCATATTCATATTTAAAAAAAAAAAACAACAAAAAAACCAAACAACAAACCACACACAAAAATATTTGCTATATCAACTAGGAGGGATCTAGCATTTGAGCAGTGTGCTGGTACAAACTCAAATGGAATTTAAATACTTCTGTTCATTGAAGAACCTGAGTGAAAAAGTACTGTTCAGGGCCTGGGAAACCAATGGTTTTCTTTTGATAATTAGGGAGAAAAGTGAATTGCTAAACATGCAACTGATATTCCTACATTCAAATATTTGAAATTACAGGTATGGAATATCCTAATGGAAAACAGACTACAGTATTCTCTGGAAAATATTTAGAACCTAGATTCTATGGACTTGGAATTAGAAAATGATGTCTGAAGTTAAAGTAAAATTTAAATTAATATAAAATGCATGGTGATGTGGAAAGAAAGCTCCTCTAAAGGGTTTGTGTTAGATCTTTTGAAGTCGACAGTGAAGCAGGATGTAATTTGACCTAATTTGACACAAAAAATCTACTACATGTTGTACTTTGAGCTGTGCTAAAGTCCTTAAGTCCTACTTCTGTAGGTCAAATGGAAGATGCTGTCCAATTTGGCAGGATTCTTACTGACTTCTGGTTTTGTGAAACCCAAACGTGAGCTTTGCAAACAAAAGAAACTTTGTTTTGATTTTACTTATTTAGGTACTCCCAGTCATGATCTCCATAAATGAACAGATAAGGAAAGTTACAAATTTATTGTTAAAAGCTAGCTTGGGAAAGATTTTAATTTTTTAAATATTTATTTTAGTGACAGTTTTGTGTATATGTATAGAGAGAGCATTCATGTTTAATAACTTGGTTTTCATGTGTTGAATTTGTGCTAATAGGTATGATCATATGTTAATATTGCAAGTTGTTGCTCTAGTAAAAAGACAAGCTTAGTAAAAAGCTGAGTGCTCAAATGTGTGGTGTTAGGTTTGAACTTGCAATGTCTAGAGGAAATCTCTAGGTGTAGCTCTTTATAAGTCTGTGTTTGCGTGGAGGAAGTTTGGAAAGCATAAAAAGAAAGAAGCTGCTTCATAGAGCAATGGGAAAAGCCTCTGTGTAGTGTAAAATTCACAGAATATTATTGCAGACAGTATATAATGGCCTTTGAAACCCTTAATTCTTCCGTAATCAAATATTATAACAGTACATGTGAAAAAAAAGTATAGTGATTCAAAGGAAATGTTGCTGATCTGTAGTGGTGGCATCAGTGAGTTCAGTGTAATGCCTTGGCACTTTTTAATTAAACATTGCACTGCAGGCATGTGCAACTTCACTCTACTTAGTGAAGTATGAGAATGCTATATAAATGAAGAATAATAATAAAATAATAATAAAAAAGAATACCTGTTTCAGGAAGCAGTCCTTCGTGTGATAAGAGAAAATGAAATGTAGTCTAGTTAAAACAACACAGTGGTAGCAAATTCAACATAGGCCCCTGTATGCAGCAAGCCAGTTTCAAATGTTAAGTTTTCCTGCTTTGTTTTTGCAAGCATTCACAGTTAAAAAGGTTTTCACATCCCTCTCTACCAAAAAGAAATTCCAAGCTGATCAAACACATTTTATAATGTGGCTTTTTGTCACTTTACACGTTTATTATTTCTGCATACTAAGGAGAACAAATTTCTATGTTAAGGTCTATGATGAGCAACATGTTGTATAAGTCATGTCTCTCCTCTTGAGTTGGGGTTTTCTTGCCCTACTGGCAGAGGTATTTGCTTAATTATTCGTATGTTGACTAGTTTTAACATTTTAAAGGCTTGGTAGGTCAGGCTGAGTTTGTTAAAACCAACTGGAAAGAGGGGCAAGCTGTTCTGGATTTGAAAGCATATTAGGTAGTGTCCCTGCTATCAAAGTGCTTAATGTTTAGGTCCGTTGTGGTTCTCTGAAGTACAAAAGTAGGAGTGATGTTATCAAATTTTGTACCCAAGAGGTGGCTTTGCTGTTTTTTAAACAGGAAAGAGCCTTTGCTGTTATTAGATGTAGAACTATGCCACATTCAGTTTCTTTTTATTTCTCTTTCCTTTGGTAAAGAGCTTACACAAACTAAGATTAAATAGAATTACTACAGGTAAGCTCCTTTCATTTTAGAGCTTATGCCAATTTTTTTTGTTGTTTTGGGCTTTTTTTTGTTTTGAAAACTCAAGGACCAGAGGGGAAAAAAGATTTCAGCTACTTCAATGGTTTTGGATTGGTTATGGTGTTTCTTGTGTTTATTGTGACCCAGAAAGTTCCCTGTCACTCTGGTGAAGTTTATATCTTTAAAACTGAACAATGAAGCTGTAGATTGCACACAGAACAGCTTTTTTCTTTTTCTTTTTTTTTTCCCTTCAATAATGTGGGGCTTAATATGCAGCATATAACTGGGGGGGGGGAAGGCAAAACTAAAAAAGCTGGAAGTCTTAAATGCCAAAAGTGATATAGTCTGTAAGTGAAGTAGTAAATAATTTTGTACTCTGTTGTGCTTTTAAAGTAATGTTTTAAAAGCTTCATTTCTAATTTTCTTCCAAAATACTAATGTTCTGTGAGACAGCTATTTATTCTGAGTACATAATTCTTGCATGAGCTTTTTTCGATGATTTGGAAGAAATATAGTCAAACTGATCAGCTATAACACATAACTGTTAGCCAGATCTGATGTCTCAGGATCACTATCTTTGTAAAGCTACCTTGATAAAGAGACTTTTTCTAGCCTAAACATCTTTTTCTGTTTGCCTGTAAATGTAGAAAGGGTAGGAGAAACCTTAACAGCTTTGTAAATACTGCTTCATACCTGACATATTCTGTTGTGAGTACAGAGAAATTATTTTTGAAGTGAAATATTTATACTACTACTTCTGCTTTAGGTGACAGTGAATGCACCCAAAAGACCCCCTGATGCTGTAATGTCTGATGTCACAAGAGCTGATCAGGTAAAGTTTTGTATGCTTTAGGTGTGGAAAAGTTTGTTTTGTTTGGAGAAAGAAGTCTTCTATGATGTTCACTAATAGTACAAATTTTCTGATATACTTCAGGTATTTATATATGTATATTTGTGTGTGTATATATATATGTATAACGTGAACTTGTGCTAGGTTAAACTGTGATTGTGTTCAGTGTACTATTTAAAACATTCTTTTTGTAAGGCTGATGCAATTTTGTAACTGTTTATTACAAAATTCTGCATAGAAGGAGAAAATGAACATTTGTATTTGGTTGTATTTTTTTTAAAAAGGGTTCAAAATCTGAAATTTACAGCAAATGATGCAAGCAAATATGTAATGACAAAAAAATGCTTAAAGTTCACAGTCCTGATTAAATTTCTGTAGTGATAGTAGTCAGGGAAACCTGAAATACTGACAGATGTCTGTCCAAGTATGTTTCTGTCTGTCCACAGTCCCACTGATTCACAGGCATCTGCTTTCCATAGACAAAAACATGAGTAAATACATACATTCTCCTCTGAAGGTAAACATATGTAAGTGTCAGAAAAGTAAGACAGGAAAGTCTGGAACTACCAGTATTAAGACACTGAGTAGTATTTTCAAAAGCAACTTAGTCATGGCTACATGTAGCCATGTAGCTTTTGAAGATTCAGTTAAAATGTTGAGCATCAGCTGAGCTGTGGTAACAGTCATGTCTGCTTAGCCTTTGACTATATATGGAGTAATTAAACTTATGTCTCATGCAGCTGATTCATGTGCTTGAAGTCCATGTTAACCCTACTCACTTAAACCAGGAAAAAGAGCTTGGATCAGCATTTCTGTTTGTATCACTTGTATACTTTGCTGCATGCTGAAATTCACTGTATCAGTCTAGGAGATACAAGTCTAATTCTTCTGAATAGGTTCCATTGAAAGTTGTCAAGGTAAGCAAGGAACTGGGAGCAGTGAGAGGGTACTTTGTTCTTGAGAGGTGGCTAAACACAGTGCAAGGTGTTCTCTAACAGCTGGCACTTAATTAGATAAGATACAGCAACCTTAATGGCCCAGTAGTTTGTAGTATTTACTTTGAATGTTGAAACTCTAAATTGAGCTTCTCTTCTGTGTGATTATATCAAATTTGATTCCAGGTCCATCAGTTTTCAGATGACATTTATGAATACCTTGTTCATAAGCTAATCTTAGTTTCTGAGCCTTAAACTCTTTTATGTCTAGAATTGTTACTGCATATAAAATGCAAAGTTCTTGAGATAAAAGATGATTATGGTGACCCTGAGTTTTGGAAATAAAGGAAGTGGCATAGAGTAGCCACCATGCTTTTAGTTTGAGATCTACTCTTGACAGGGTAGATAAATAGATATAAGTCCTCTCCAATTAGATCTTGCAGGAGCCATGGCCAGTGGACTTTTAGAATCGCAAGAAGGCTTATCTTACAAAATATTCACTAGCATCTGTGCTTAAGTGATGATGCCTGTGTACAGGATGGGGAATGTGTAGAACTTGGGAACTTTATGGGCAGAAATGCAGACTTTGATGTGAGGGACAGCTTGAGAAACTATCAAAATTTTACATTTATGTGTCTATGGAATGACACAACTGCTAAAAATGTTTTTAGTTATGGAAGTGGCACACAAATTGCATCAAAGATTCTGATTTTTTTTCCTTAGTGTTTAAATGAAAAATGTGTTGGCAGAAATGACTGTTGCCATTCAGCTACTGAACAAGTATCAAGTATGAGACAGACTGCAAGAGTCAGTTTGCAGATGGCATTTGAGTTAACTTGAACTTTATTAATTTCTAAGGATAGTTATGACAATCACCACTCAGTTTTTGTGTTACCACAATTACATGGCTAAACAACTCTTCGTAATTATAATTTCAACCCCCTTAACTTTTCACAGCATGATCATGTAGTAAACTTCTTGCTAACCAGACTATTATGCATGTTTTAAAAATGGTTACAGTGGTGACTCCTATCTTTCACTGGAGACAGTGACTGTGGTTTTCTTAAAAGTTGTATTCAGTTCTAACTCAACTATGCAGGTTAAGTTTCTTCCAGGAGGGCTAACGTCCTTTACATGTTTTCAGACAGGAGGACATACTGCTTAGTGAAGAGTATACTGGGAACTGAGAGCTAGTAACCATTTTTGCCCTTCACTGTGTTCCGTGAAATGGAGGGTATAGCAACCTACAGTACCTTGAAAAATGATTGTGTTATGTCAGTGACCATTGGCAGAATAAACTAATCCTTTTAGTTACTGGTATCAAAGTCTAATAGCAGGGAGTATAATAAATGTTTATCCCTTTCAAATCTGTACCCATTCCTGAGAAGTTCTTTAAACACACAGCGGTGCTTATGAATGAGTTGTAGTACTGTGGTATAAGCTGCTTAAAGATGAAAAATTATTAAGGAAAATTTACCAGAAGTACCTGACCTTCTAAAAATGCTTTAAGGCTTAAAATTAAAAAAAGAAGTACATAAAATATTTTTTCTATGTGTTCATGAATTCTACTGCAAAGAACTCGGTGATATTTTTTCCATGTTGCCCTGTAGAGATGTGCATGTGCTGTGGTATTTTTCCAGCTTGTTCTCTTTCTAACCTGAGCTATACTTTACTAGATATACTGCCATAATTCTTTTGAATAAAATAGACATTTTGACAGAAAATCAAAAAGTCTAGAGGTTGTTTGACTATTAGCCATTTAGCAAGAAATGAATCATTCCATTTCAACCCCATAGGGAACATTTAATGTAGTTACAGAGCTTCAGTATCACCAAGCTATTCTTGTCCTGCCAGTTTTCAAATCAGGCTCTTAATCAGTCAAACAGATTTTTCTGAATGATTCCTAATGCAATTAAGAATCACAAGCAGTGATTCTGTATTTTTGGAGAGTTTTGTCCCTGTAGAGTTTTCTTTTCACTCCCTTTTCAAATGTGTTGAATTTTTGGGAATTCATTTTCTGATGACACAAAATGAGCTGCAGTGTGTGTTTACAGTGTATGATGTCCAAGTGATGCAGATCACTTTTGAGGAGGGAAACAATATGGAGTTGAGAGTTTGTTTGGTGTTTTGTGTGTGGTTTTTTTGTTTGCTTGTGGAAAAAACTCACAGCATTCTGATATTGTTCAGATTACCTCACAAGAAATAAACTGTTCTCCATCTTTAAATATCAGAATTAATATATAGAATACACACTGTTGTGACAATAAATAAACAGTATAACAATAGCCCATAAAATGGAATTTTTCAAGAAGTCGTTTCAGTTTACAATTCTGTGTTTCCTCCCACTTTCTTCTGAAAGCTACCTGTCCTGTTTGCCTATATGGAAAAACTAAAGTGCTAACAGCTGGAGTTTACAGGATTTCTGAGTTTTGTTGTTCATATCAGTAAAATGCCTAATAATTTTAAAAAGTGTTTGCCAGTTGAAAAGATCTCTTTGTTTGCAACAGTATCATACATTTCACTAAAGCATTCTCTCACTTTAAATTCTGACTGTATATTTGTTACTTACATTGATAGGGAGAAATAGACATGACAGAAGTAGAAAAGACCATTTAGATAGATTTTGAAAAACATGGCATGTCATCCAACCATGCTTTGGGACCAGCTGTGTACAATCAACCATCCCACCATAAGTGTCTGCGAAGCAGTGTCATATGAGCTATCACATGTGACTGTCCACAGGAGCTACTCTTCCATGCAATTTGGGTATCTCAGGCACATGATACTTCTACTCTGTGGTTTCCAGGAAAATTGGCTGTCCTTGCTTTCCAGAATTTTTAATTCCTTGTTAGAGCTGATGAAACTGAGACTGATACTGATCTATTGGAGGACCAGCTTTTTGATATCTTGTCATTTTTAAGTTACTTTCATTTGCAAAACTATGATAATATTTTAAATGTTGCACAGTCTCTAAAAAGTTAAACATAAAGCTTGCTTGCTTTGTAGTCTTAATAGCCTTTGTATGAAATGCTTTACAATGCAGTTTTCAGTCATGCAGGCATAAATGGTGTTTTTGTTCCCTCTCCTTCAAGAGCTCCTTCCACAAAGAGAGGGCTGTAGGCATGATCTGAGATAGTGTAGGAAGTCAGTTTTCCTGTCTTACTTGTTTCAAGAAGTTCTGTGCTTTTTCCTTTAGAATTCATATGGTCTGTGGGCAACTGTTACCCAGATATCCCAAGGTACTCAGGCATGGGTGCTCCTTAATTGATGGCTGGTAGGAGAGGATGAGACAATGGAGTTTGAAAGATGAAATCTGGGAATTGGACTGGCAGGAGGGTGTCTGAGCATCCCAAGCTGAAACTGAAATTCATAGGAGCTCTGTTTTGAACTTGTACAGTGTACTTCAAATATGAGATGTGCTTTGAAGAATTAGACCTTCAAAGGTTAAGTTGGAGATCATGAATTGGTTTGTGCTGCTGCCAGTTATGGCCTTTTCTGTTGTATTACAGTTTCCAGTCTATAAAGTAAGCCTGTTTATAAATGTTTGAGGCATTTAACTTGTGCAGAGAGTGTTTAAAAAAAGGAGTGGCATATAATATCTGATGGTGATTTTTGAGAATGTGATATAAAGAGCAGCCTAAAAAAATGCCAATTTAGGGAATATAGTGATTCTTCACTCATTCAGAGATTTTTAGAGAGGTTCAGTAAATTTGCACCTAGACTGATAGGATTTAAAATGCACAAGCTATATATAGTTTTCTTGTGCAGGTATAGATCAAGCATTGACAGAGTGTGAAGAAATTGCTGCTCTTTAGTGGTTTGTGGTTTTTACTAAAATGAAGTTCTTTTCCTCTGGAAGAGGACAAAATAATTGGCACCTGCCATGTTTCAAGTAGTGTCATCAGCATTTTGTGACTAACGCTGCAGGACTGTCCTTCCCTTCCTGAGTCATTCTCAGTCCTGCAGTCCTCTTGCTCATACTGCAGTCCTCTGGCTACCTAAGTTTTTTCACTGTGTCAAGTTTGGCTAAAACTGCAGTTGTTAATG